ACCTCAAGCTCTTATCCCTTCCTCTTTTGCTACTTCCACTTTTTTTTTCAGCCCACATTAAAAAAAAGCTGATGACGTTTTATTCTTATATGAACGTGTGTCGTAGCCTACGAGTCAATAGGTGTCATCATCATGTTGTAGCCACGTTTATTAGATCCGTGTCGCACAGTGTGACATGCAGTGATCTTATAGGCTTGCTAAAATCATGCAATGTATCTCGGGCTTTAAAGAGGGTACTTCATCAGCTGAACTGTGTACATATGTTTTAGACACTTCGGCTACCTTATGTTCTTACTCTGCACATGTATTAATTGGGTCCTTGTAAGTGCGTAGCTTTATAGCATATTTACTTTAGGTAATATATGTTTGAATTGTATGACCTATTTCAGATGCATCCGAAGTTACAACAACAACAACATATATATTTAATAGTTTGATCAAAATTAGTGCTAGGGACAATTTACTAGTCACTGGATATTGGTAAGGACATGTCCCTAACGTCCCTACCTAATTCTACGCCCTTGTGTTTGCACTACACAACATCAGAAATATCAGGCCCTTTCTAACGGAGCATGCTGCACAACTTCTTGTCCAGGCCCTTGTCATCTCTAGGCTGGACTACTGCAATGCTCTTCTGGCTGGACTTCCATCAAGCACAATCAAACCTCTACAAATGATTCAGAATGCAGCGGCACGACTGGTCTTCAACGAGCCCAAAAGAGCCCATGTTACACCTCTCTTTATCTCCTTGCACTGGCTACCAGTTGTGGCTCGAATCAAGATCAAGACATTTGTGCTTGGATATAGAACAGCCAGAGACTCAGCACCCGCCTACTTCCACTCACTGTTACGAATCTACATCCCCTCCAGAAGTCTGAGATCCGCTAGTGAGTGACACCTCGAGGTACCTTCACAGAGAGGCTCAAAATCACTTTCCAGAACATTCTCGTTCACCATTCCTGGCTGGCGGAACGATCTTCCCACCCCTCTCCGGAATGCTGAATCCCTGACAATTTTCAAGCGACAGCTGAAAACTCATCTCTTTTGAAGCTATTTGACTTCATCCTAAATTATATATATACTGTATATAAAAAAGTGTCTTCTCTTTCTTTATGCCTTCTCTTTCTAGCTTGTACTTATTTGAACAATGCCTGGAACTTGGTATTACGAGCACTGTCTGTGTCTGTTTGCCTCTTTAAGAAGAATTGCTTGATGTATTCCTCAATTGTAAATCGCTTTGGATAAAAGCGTCTGCAAAATGAATAAATGTAAATGTATTTAAAATGTTTATTACAAAAACGTATATAAATCTTTGTATATATGTTGTTTTAATAAAGTTGTATATATAAATAAAATATATATTATTGACATATGGTTGCTACATATAATAAAAAAAATATATAACATACACAACTTTTACCATGGGAATTGTATATATGTTAGAAACATTTATCTTCATCTTCCCAGAGAATGTACATTTGTAAAAATGTCACTTTTTTTTTTTTTGGCCAGGCAGTTTTTTTGCTACATTGTGGCCTTATAGGTAACATATATAGCAATATCACTCTTGATGTAGGGCAATATATGTCATATATTACATTTCTGTATGGGTGGTGCAGTCCATGAGGACGAGATGCTCTGTAGTACTGGTGTAGCATCTGGTGGACATACAAGACACTCACTGTGTTTGACTTATACACCTGCTTTGTTCATGGACTCATTATTTCATCTCTGTTTATTGAAGTTGTTGAACTGTTTATGTTCAAACAGATATTAAGCAGCTGAAAGTGTGAGGACGTTTCTTTTTTTTTTGCTGAGTTTATATGTACAAAACAGATACACATCAACATGAAGTTGCCTTCACATAAATGTACTGAATTCGTCTGTAATGTTGCTATATTTGTCAATCAGCATTATTAACACATGAGATAAAGTATTAAAGTATTATATTAATGTTTAAAGTTATTGACTGTCAAATTTGTATTCATATGTTGTTTTGCAGTGATTTAAAAAAAGTAACCTTATCAAATTAGTTATATTAATATAAAGGAATCTGATTACAAGTTAAGAGAATTCAGTCATCTGAAGTAGATTATTGTTAATAACTTTGCCTGCAATGCACATTATTAATAATGAATGTGAACACTGATCATGTTTTCCGCTATGTTTTTCGACTTATAAGACATAAACTTGCTAGATGAAGTATGTTCTTGAGTGTCATTGTGTTTGTTAGCGGCTTACATTGTAGGAAGTCCTCTCTGGTCCTGGGAACAATGTTACTGTGAGTGACTGTGAAAATATCAGATATAAACACTCAGAGAGAAAATGATACCTGTATCTATTCCTTAGACATTTCTAACATTTTCTTTATGATATTAGATGATGTTTGTCTCATTACAGAGAGCAGATGAATCTCTAATATTTTACCAGATATCTTTTTCATCTCCTCTTTGCAGAAATCCTCCAGTTTGTGTCTCAGCTGACCGACAGATTCTCTCACAGCATCAAAAGAAACGAGGACACGGACAGAGATGTTTTCTGTAGCTTCAGGAGGAGCTGAGAGAGACTGAAGACTCTGCAGAAACACAAATAATAAACCAGAAAAAGATCTGCAAAGATATATAATACATAAGAGATGTTTAATTAAGTTGTCTTTCATTTGAAGTTCCAAACGTGACCTGAATATAATGTAAAAATACCCTTTTCTTCACATAAAAGTGTTTGTTGTACTTCTTCCCAACATAATATATTCACATTGATGCTACAGATGCTGAATTTATAGGTCTATGATTTTAATGATAATCTTCGATCAATACAAATGCTCAGATATAATAGACCTTACTCAGGATACTTCCATATTTAATTTTTGACAGGAATGAAAACAAGGCTGTGAGTGATAAATGTACAGTGCATTTAATGTACTGTACTACTGTTGTTGAAGTACAATACAATCCAAAAACTGTACTGTTGTAAACTGTACTGTAAGTCTATCTCTCACAGCCTCGATTTCATCTGTGTTAAATTCAATATAGCCTCTAACCTGATTATGGTCTATAGATAATGGTCTCTATTATTAGTATGTTTCATCAGGTCAGCTCACTGATGCAGTGCTCCCGAGTGAAACCAGTTTTTCATGATAAAACCCCCACCATCACCAGACAACATTCTGAGCAACATTCCCATCAGCAGACTGACGCTTAAGGCTGGAAAACACTAAACATTATACTTTTGCCTAGATATTTCCTGATTGCAATCTGGAGGAGTTGATGCTAGCTGCTAAAAAATCAGAGCCAGTCTGCAGATTTTGGGCACTCAGAGTTGACAGATTTCACAGAAAATCACATTGTCTGTGATGAATCCAGTTTTTAAGCTTCAGACTATGATTTCTATGAAGTCGATATCAAAATATGCAGATTTTAGAACAAATCGTTTTTATTTGTCACACGTCACATAACAACAAGGTACGTGTTTCTGCATGAGTTTGTTGTGTTCGGAATGACTTGAAAGTCATTTAGTGTATGATGATCATTTTCTTTCTGCAAGTGTTTTGAAATCTGTTCATGTTTTAAAGTTGTGTAGTGCATTCCAGCCTTTACCTGCAGGAAATATATGTGATCGTCTGTGTGTGAAAGCTGCTCCAGCTCAGAGTTTCTCTTCTTCAGATCTTCAATCTCCTGCTCCAGTCGCTCCATTTGTCCTTCAGCTCGACTCACTGCAGTCTTTTCCTGATCTCTGATCCGCTGTGTCACCTCAGAGCGGCTTCTCTCAATGGAGCGGATGAGCTCAGTAAAGATCCTCTCACTGTCCTCCACTGCTGTCTGTGCAGAGCGCTGTTAGACACACATCACAATCAGCTCTTACTGCTTCCTCACAGCGGCTTCAGTGGGACTGAAAGAGGAGAGTC